CGCGCCTGGCTGGTCACCATTACGTACCAATTTTTTGCTCGCATAATTTCAAATTTGGGCCCCCCTAAGAAATCCTGCATCCGCGCCTGTGTCGATCAGTCCTTGTATTTGAGAGTATAAGGTATATACCCCCCCCCACAACCTCTCAATCACATACTGCGCTTTTTCCTTCAATGGTTTGATCCGAGGGGGGGGGGGTTCTCCGGCCCCCGCCCCCCACCCCCCCCCCCTTTGAAAATGGGCCCCGTCTTACCAAGAGTTGATATCAATCGCAACTATATGCATAAGAGATAGGAGACTGCAAACTTTCGATTGATTGGAGGACTTGATTCCCCCCCCCCCCCCCCCCACGGACGGACCCCATGCGTGTTACCAAAATGTCCGGTAAAGGGGTACTTTTCGTGCGACAAAGTCCGGCCCGAGAATTGTAAAAAAAAAAGGTGTATTAACTTTTCACCCGGAGATTTCTTTAAAAAGGGGGCGTTTTTTTCTTTTTTTCTCTCATCTCTTTGGACTCCTGAGAAATTATTCAGAATTAAGGGGGTACATTTAGCATTTTTCATGATTTAGGGGGTCTCCAAGGCTTGAAAAGCCCGCGAAAGGGGGGTTCGGAAATGTTGGCAGTCCTCAGATAGGGGATACTTTCAAAAGGAGGAAACAAGCATATGCGTACCCTAAATAACACTGAGGGGGGGGGGGGGGACTTGAATCAATCGCAACTCTTTGTAAGACGGGGCCCTGGTCACCATTAGGCCTACGTACCAATTTTTTGCTCGCATAATTTCAAATTTGGGCCCCCCCCCCCCTAAGAAATCCTGGATCCGCGTCTGTGTCAGTCCTTGTATTTGAGAGTATAAAGTATATACCCCCCACCAACCTCTCAATCACATATTGCGCTTTTTTCCTTCAATGGTTTGATGCGGGGGGGGGGGTTCCATCAAACATGGATGAAAAATTCCAAATAAAATATAATGTTAATGAACAGGCATAATACAAAAAAAATCAAGGGAAACAACAGGAGGAAAATGTCTTTGTTTGTGTATTTGGAAGTGGGGGGGGGGGGGGGTTACACATACATAAGATACGCCCCATTGTGTATATTGCTATGACTGAATTGGCCCTATAAATTATCTGAATAATGTAAGGTTGAAATAAAGGCGAAGAATGCTAAGAAGATGTGTTTATAATTATAAATTTGACTAAATATTGAATGCATTTTATTTGTGGGGGTTCGTTTTAAAGGGAACCATACCGGTAGATATGCCGTCAAAGGTAGAAGATAGCTTTGGCCGAGGTAGACCCACATGGCAGTCAATCTTTTTTTTTCTTTAAAGTAATTTTCCTCAAAGTTTTAAAATTCCGTTTAAAATCGGTGTTGGGGGTGTTTAAAAAGTATTTGTTATTAGAGAAAGGGAATTTACCCCATCACATTTCGTCTTTTTTCCCGAACGCTTTGGGGGTTTGTGAAGAAAAAAGTGAATTAGAAAAATTATAAAGTAACACGGTTTTAATGAACGAATAAAAAGTAATTACATTCAAAATGTTTTTAATAGAACACATTTTGATCATCTTCAATACATTCATGAATGATTCAACAGGCAAAACACAAATTCAAGAACAAAAAATATAAATCGGGATTTGGGAGAGGCTTCCTTGAACTTCGATTCGCTGGATCATATGATTGATATGAAAGACTAATGTCAGATTAAACAAAATCAAAGAATTCGAAGAGGCGAGTTGTGTTTCCAATAATGCTTTTTGCTGGACACTGCAGCTGTTGGAAAGTTTCTGTTTGTTTTAAAGGAAACCATATCAGAAAATTCCTTCACAAAACAGATAAAACATTTAAAAAAAAAGTATATGTAGTTTGACTCACGGGAAAGTCTTTACAATTTTGTTTCTTCTCCTTTTCTTTGAAAAGTCCTTTAAAAGCAGGTAAAGATTTCATAAAGTCATCGGATCGAAAGGAGAGGTAGCCCCCCCCCCACCCTTTACATATTAGACCCTTACAGAATGAAATTCAATGAATAAAAACAATTAGTGCAATGGAGACACTTCTCGAGCCCCCACACAATGGCTCTGAAAATTGAGCAAGGGGGTTGACATCATCAATCTACAATGGGAGGCCAAACTGATTTCACAGTTAACATGAGAACTAAGCATTACAAATGCAGCCAACCTCACATAAAATGATTTTTCTTTTCATTCTCACTTTATGTGGGAGAATTTTTCCTTGTCTTATTTGTTTAAATCTTTACTTTTCAAAAATATATAATGCGTTCATTCGTTCCCGTTTCAATTTTGTTCACTAATTTTGGCCGCCCATTTACAAATCGGTGGTTTTGTCAACGTAGTGAGTTGGGGCCAAGTATCTTTCTCCATGAAACTATTACCTCCTTAGCATCTCGTTCTTCCATTCCTTTTTCTGCTGGTCTGACATGTCCTTGTGTTTTCTCCCAACATGTTGAGACATGTTCGAGACAGGTGCTTGGCATATGTAGCATGTCCTTTGCATTCGTCTTCAAACCATCAAAGATAACAATATTTTTGAAATATAAATAACTTATATATTTTTTAATTTTTAATCATACTGTATTAGGTGTATTGGAAAGAATGGAATATCTCACATCACTTAAACTATTGAGATATAATTGTAAATATTAAAGAAGGTCCTTTGCATTCGTCTTCCAATCATCAAAGATAACAATATTTTTAAAATATAAATAACTTATATTTTTAAATTTTTAATCATACTGTATTAGGTGTATTGGAAAGAATGGAATATCTCACATCACTTAAACTATTGAGATATAATTGTAAATATTAAAGAAGGTCCTTTGCATTCGTCTTCCAATCATCAAAGATAACGATATTTATGAAATAGAAATAACTTATATATTTTTTATTTTTAATCATACTGTATTAGGTGTATTGGAAAGAATGGAATGTCTCACATCACTTAAACTATTGAGATATAATTGTAAATATTAAAGAAGGTCCTTTGCATTCGTCTTCCAATCATCAAAGATAACAATATTTTTGAAATATAAATAACTTCTATATTTTTTTTATTTTTAATCATACTGTATTAGGTGTATTGGAAAGAATGGAATGTATCACATCACTTAAACTATTGAGATATAGTTGTAAATATTAAAGAAGGTCCTTTGCATTCATCTTCCAATCATCAAAGATAACAATATTTATGAAATAGAAATAACTTATATATTTTTAATCATACTGTATTAGGTGTATTGGAAAGATTAGCGTGTATCACATCACTTAAACTATTAAGAATAGATATAATTGACAAATATTAAAGATCCTTGCAGGATATGACTACAGGAAAGTCATAAGAACAAATGTATGTACTTCAAATTTAGCAGAAACTTGACAAAACTTCAAATTAGATGAATGTATGTTTGTGATTTGATCATATAATGTTAATTTGGATTAGATCATTTTCATCATCATTTTTAATATTATTTGGTACTTGGTTGGGTAATCCCTTTGGCAGCTCACTCAGGAAGCTATACTGGGATGGTAGGTGAAGCGAGTAACTACAAGGAGTGTCATGAATTGCAGGTATGGTGTGTGGACAAAGCACTCATTCATTTACAGTAAAATATGCTAAGTCCAGTGCAAAACCAAGCTAGTAAGCTTATATGATGTGGGAACCAACAGGGGGCTGCATCATTCTGATGGAGGGTAGAGAAGCCTCCTTGAAGTTGGTTATTCCTGTTGGATTGACTGCTGAGGCTGGCAGACGATTCCAGATCCTTATTGCTCCTGGGTAGTATGAGAACTTGTAGGAGTCAATAGTTGCAACAGGAATTACATACTTCAGGTTGTGATCGTGTCTTCCGAAGTATGTAGCAGGGGTGACAATAGTTGGTGCAGGTATTGAGACAAGACGGTGATGGATCTTGTAGAGAAGAGTGCATTGGTCGAGGATTCGACGTGTGTGGGGGCAGATCCAATGATTCAAACTTGTTGATTCAATCCAATGATTATAATTACTATTACTATATTATTATTGTTATTGTAAATGTTATTAGAAAAGCAGTATAGGAGTAAAGATGGTTTGTATTTTTAACCCAAAAAAACATAATAATAATGTTCTTATGTAATCATTGGATTAAATCACAAATTTTGAATCATTGGATCTGCCCCAAGTGGGATTCAACCAAGAATAAACACTGGTTTCTATAAAAGCTTGCAGAAATGAGACAAACTGTGAGTATCGGGTTTCAATGAGTCTAGCTTTGTTTTCAAGAAACCAATTATGATACTCTAAGAATGGATTCAATGTTTTCCTTGTTATAGCTATGAAAAGGGTATCGGTGAGGAACTGTTTTATATTCATTAAAAAAAATGAAAAATAGAATCTGAACTGCTTGCAGTGTGATGTAATGAGACCCCCAAACAACATTTTGCCCCCAAATGAGTTTCACTAAATCATAAAGAAATGTAATTCACTCCACATTATATACATGTAACACTGAAAATAAAGATCTTGTTGAGCTTTTATATTTAATTTATTAAATTTGCCATGGTAGAAAAGTGTAATTCTTTACAAAATTATTATTTTTTTCAATGATTATTTACAATGGAATAAAGTTCAACTTTGAAACAATTTTAATGTAAATGCAGTTGGATAATATCTTTGATGTATTTTTACAAACATTAGTTAGCTGGAATAACTATGTGTATTGCACAAGATACTATACATCTTCAATAGTATTCCATGTTACATGCACTATAACATACATGTAAATACTTGAATTTATATCCTGCATCCAAAAATTATTGTTTTTTGATTGGTTGAAAGCTTGTAACATGACCAAAAATATTTAAACTGTTTTAAGGTTGCTCTTAAAAAGTACTATTTGGGAGGCGACATTTTTTTTTTTTGGGGGGGGGGTGGGGAATTTTGATTGTTTTTTCTCCAAATCTTAATTAAATAATTTGTTTTTGTTTTTATTATTTATTTTTTTTTTTTTAATCTTAAATTAATGTTTTGATGCAGGATATAAAACAAATATACTATGCCCTCTTTTCGAGGTACTGGTTAAAACTACGGTCCTCGGTGACTCCAACTCGTCTATTGGAGTAACCTCTTGCGCATAGTTTTAACCAGAACTTCTCTCGACAACTTTGTATAATATCAAACTCAGTTGAATTGTGTTAAGGAAAGTTGGCAAACAAAGTAACATAATTACCACTGCTAATAATTGGATGTACATGTAACAAAATTATTAACCTGGGCGGAAGTCTTTGTATACTATGATTTTCTTTAACCACACATAATAAGATGCCTCATATAATAACATGATTAGCACTGCTACATGCTCCCTCTTATATTCAAAACACATTTTGACCAGCACTCTAGAGTAGCTATTCTAGGAAATTTCATTGTGTACATGTTATAAATGGTTGTTATAAGTACATTTACAGGTGTAGATTAATAAAAGTTAGAAAATACCAAATAAATTGAGCTGATATATTGCTAAGCCGAAGTCCATCATTCATTGGTCGATATAAAGAATTAAAAAAGAAAACGGAAAATTCAGTATTTTAAATAAAGAAATATAGAATGACAACTTAAAAACTGATCTCAAGTTACTCACAAATGAATATGAAATAGGGAATTAACTAGAGAACATCATATTGCTTTTAAGGATATCACATGACTTTAAAAATAAATTGTTGTATGATCAAAAATGTTCATTATAACCTCATGAACTTATTTCGGCACTGTAATTTGTGTACAAAAGAGATGATATTCTTTTCCAAAAGTCCCCCAGAAGAGGATGAAGCGTACAAAATACGTTTTAATAATTTCTACATTATTTGGATTGTCTTAGAGGCACACAGTTGATGTACAATGCAACCTTCATGTAATCGAGACAGAAGACTCCTGGAAAAAAAATGTATGTGGTCACAAACACCCTAAATTTTGTACATGTGCATGAATTATAAATGTTAAAACTATATTGCTACATATATAACAATGATTCACCTTTCACCTCGCTGCTCCAACCTAAGAATTTCCCTTGTGTAGTATAATGTCACTAAGAAAGTTCAAAATTATTTGCTTTTTTACTTTGAGTTTTGAGGTCTTAGGTAAAACATTTTATTCTTAACACAAGAGATAGTCTACATAACTTTAAGAATCCATACTAAGTATGAGCTTCATGGGTTTCAACTTTCAAGAGAACCATGATCTGGGGTGAACAAAACAAAACAAAAAGTGAATTCATATAAAAATGAAAATCATCTAAATTTAAAGATTCATGGATAGTATTCCAAATGCTGACAGAGCTATCAATGTGCAGTAGCATCCCTTCTCTTAATTCCAATTTGTTCTGCATACATGTAGACTTTTGGAGTGAGTCAACAACAGCCAGGAGCACGACATCACTGCATCATTGAGGTCAAACGATCAACGTTGAGGGGTATGCTTTTCAACCATCAAAAACAAAGTCTGGAAGGACTTGAGATGAAGCTTGTTCAGTTCACCAGGACATTGGCATTTCACAAACTAAATGTGATGCTGTAGCATAAACAGAACACACGTTCCAAATTCCAAATTGGGAGTACATGTCACAGTGCCATTTCTTCATGACTATCAAGCATCCATTATCAATCAACACTGTAGTAATCAAGCTCACCAACTTCAAGACCTTTACAGTAGATCTGTGACCACGTGATAGTAGATCCTTGGCACTAATTGCCATATTTTGACGGTGGTTGTTATCACTTTGTTTCTATCCCAACAAGACTAGTGTAGCGTCTGTCTTGAGAACGGCTATCTTTGTTCACTTATCAACCAACTCCAATGGTTCGAAACTGGGTCAGGTTTTACAGATGGTGTTAGTAAAGGTTGGTCCCCAGATGTAAAAAGCAAGTGTAATCAGATTGGAATGTTAAATGAAAATCCAATAAAACTCTTTCAAGCACTTTGCATCGACACATATAGAAATATGCATGGGGCATTTCCTCATCTGGCCTGCTCTGTTCACTCCTGGTTGGGCTATACTGGCTACATACTGGCTTCAGGCAGCAATTGCTTCATTGAATAGAGATTTCGAGGAAGAAAAGTTGAACAGAAAATATATTATTACTTATGATGTTATTAAAGAAGGCAAACGCCAAGCATTGTCTCACCTGCATCTCAGGAGAGCGCAATACGCATATATGAAAATGCTATTTAGATTTTCATTAGTACAAGATGTAAATTTTAATCCGGCTGTTTACAATAACCAATATTGGTAATGTTGCAAAGGCTTTGTCCCTGCAAAACAATACCGGTAGAACACTAATTGAAAAGGCTGTTAATTTTATCTCAATTTTTTTTCCTCTTGACATAACTGGTGACCCCACAGCCTCTTGAGATTGTTTGTTCCTCATAAGGTGTATATGAGGTTTGATGAAACTGTAGTGGCTCATCTTAAAAATTGGCCTAAGCTGGCCTTGAACCTTTGACCGCATCATTAAAGCTATAGAAAGTTTCTGTGTGTACGTGCAGGGCTCCCACAGAATTTTGAGAACTAAATCCCATAACTTTCCTTTTTCCTTGACAAGATATTAAGTACCATTTGGGTATGGGACGCGGTAATCAAGTGGCCTACGAATTCCACGTGCCACACACCTACGTTCAATGATTTTCATGATTTTTCATGACTTTGGGAGAATACTTTTTCCATTTTATAATTTTTTTTGATGACTTTCCAAATTTGTCAAAGACCATGGGAACCCAGACAGTGCTTTTCAATGGAAATTCACTTAAAGTTCACTGGCCTTTTGACCTTGGTCAAATATGACCCACTTACCAATTTTATCTACGCCTTTAAAGTGGGACTGCACTACTTGTGGCTACTTGCGCCCTCTATATAGCAAACAATACCCAAGCGGTAATCATAGGTCCCCCATGATCCCTTTTGTTGTTATGTTGAGAGCTGATTTGATGAGATAACCACCTGCCAGTGACCTTGCAGGGTGGGTGGTCTAATCCCTACTGACCAAACTAGTGCAGACAGGCTTTAAGAGATGTACTGGTGATATAAATTTGGTGATCCTACCTCAAACCTATAAAGTTATTGTGAATACAGCATGATTTTTGACGATGACAGCAACAAAAACTATGCCGGAAATAGTGAGGCCTATGTCTCACTCTGCTACACAGGCAAGACCAAAAATCAAAGACAAAAATTCATTGAAGTCATATATGTTCTATGAATAAATTGCCTATTACAAACATCAACTCAAATTTTAAAGGAATGTAGTATGTCATGTTCATTCTTAATTACCTTTGTTTCTTCTTTTTCACTGGCGTCTCAACCGGTGTCTCTTCAGCTGCAAATAAATGATAAATATGTGAATAATAATACCAATAGGCATTTGTATAGCGCCGTTTATCTAGAAATTCTATTCCGAGGCGCACTTATTATTACCTGCTTTAGCCTAGCTGCCATTACAGCGCTCCAGCATTTCAAGGAATTAATTCCAGCCATGCAGGTTCCCATTTATCACACCTGTGTCGAGTGTGGCATATGAAGATTAATGACTTGCCAAAGGACATAAGTGCCATGTCAGGGATCAAACCACGACCTTTGAATTTCAACTACTCGACTACGACACTTCTACGTTACAGTCTCACATTGGTGAGCACAACGTCAAACACAAAATTTGACTAAAACATTATTAGTTCGAACAGCATCAGGCATTATTTCTAAAAAGGTTAAAAAGGAATGTAAGATGAAATATGCTGGAGGCAGAGGTTATAAATAATAGGTCAATAGTAGCATGGAAAGGCTGGTCAGACCTGTTGAATGATGGTAGGGTAGGAGCCCCCATGGCATTTGTACATGAAGAATATATTACATTCTAAATTATTTGGGGGCTCGAGGCGAGGCCCCCGCCCCAGCCCCACACAACTTTATATGATATTCTTGCCGGGGGCTCCTACCCTAATATCGTTCAGTTGGTCCTAAGGCAGCCCTGTACCAAAAATGGCATTTGTACAACAACAAATCAATTTTATATTACCTTCTAAATTATTTGGGGGCTACGAGGTGACGCCCCCGCCCCACACCCTTATATGATATTCTTGCCGGGGGTCCTACCCTAATATCATTCAGTAGGACCTGTTGAATGATGGTAGGGTAGGAGCCCCAATGGCATTTGTACAACAAAAACTCAATGTTATATTACATTCTAAATTATTTGGGGGCTACGAGGTGACGCCCCCGCCCCACACCCTTATATGATATTCTTGCCGGGGGTCCTACCTTAATAACATTCAGTAGGACCTGTTGAATGATGGTAGGGTAGGAGCCCCAATGGCGTTTGTACAACAAAAACTCAATGTTATATTACATTCTAAATTATTTGGGGGCTTGAGGTGACGCCCCCGCCCCAGCCCCACACAACTTTATATGATATTCTTGCCGGGGGCTCCTATCCTAATATTGTTCAGTTGGTCCTAAGGAAGCCCTGTACCAAAAATGGCATTTGTACAACAACAAATCAATTTTATATTACCTTCTAAATTATTTGGGGGCTACGAGGTGACGCCCCCGCCCCACACCCTTATATGATATTCAAGCCGGGGGTCCTACCCTAATATCATTCAGTAGGACCTGTTGAATGATGGTAGGGTAGGACCCCCAATGGCATTTGTACAACAAAAACTCAATGTTATATTACATTCTAAATTATTTGGGGGCTACGAGGTGACGCCCCGCCCCACACCCTTATATGATATTCTTGCCGGGGGTCCTACCTTAATAACATTCAGTAGGACCTGTTGAATGACGGTAGGGTAGGAGCCCCAATGGCGTTTGTACAACAAAAACTCAATGTTATATTACATTCTAAAATATTTGGGGGCTAGAGGCGACGCCCCCGCCCCAGCCCCACACAACTTTATATGATATTCTTGCCGGGTGCTCCTACCCTAATATCGTTCAGTTGGTCCTAAGGAAGCCCTGTACCAAAAATGGCATTTGTACAACAACAAATCAATTTTATATTACCTTCTTAATTATTTGGGGGCTACGAGGTGACGCCCCCGCCCCACACCCTTATATGATATTCTTGCCGGGGGTCCTACCCTAATATCATTCAGTAGGACCTGTTGAATGATGGTAGGGTAGGACCTCCAATGGCATTTGTACAACAAAAACTCAATGTTATATTACATTCTAAATTATTTGGGGGCTACGAGGTGACGCCCCCGCCCCACACCCTTATATGATATTCTTGCCGGGGGTCCTACCTTAAATAGCATTCAGTAGGACCTGTTGAATGATGGTAGGGTAGGAGCCCCAATGGCGTTTGTACAACAAAAACTCAATGTTATATTACATTCTAAATTATTTGGGGGCTCAAGGCGACGCCCCCGCCCCAGCCCCACACAACTTTATATGATATTCTTGCCGGGGGCTCTTACCCTAATATCGTTCAGTGGGTCCTGAGGGAGCCCTGTACCAAAAATGGCATTTGTACAATTAATAAAAGGGCATTATTTAAACATACTTGTGGCTTACACCAAGTATATAAGATCGACAAATATCTTTGGGAAGTGTGTAATGGTGAAATAGTTACAATGTAGTAATACAATAAATAATCCTAATCCAAACATAAGATATGCATGAACTACATGATATAGAAAGAAAATATAAGACCCAGGTAGACAATTAATTAAATTTGAATGGTCCAGCATGTTATGACCAACCCCCAAAATTTTGCATTGGATGAATTCGTCCCTATTTTCACGAAGTGACGATAGTGAATGAAATCGCATACAATTTGCGTGCGGATTTTTCTCACTACCGTCACTTCATGAAAATAGGAATGAATTGAATAAAAAGGTCTAGATCTAAGCAATAGTGTAGGCAAGATCACAATAATTAATATTTCAAGTTATAAATCTCCTAAATTCATTACAGGAATATATTATTGCATTTACAACTGATCACAGTTAAAATAAATAATACCTGGAAGGATCAATACATACTTTATAGTACTGTATAGGCCCTAGAGGTCTATGTATATTGTGAACAACTCAAATTAACTTCACGGCACATCTGTCGGTGTCAAGACAAGCTCATTATATTGGAAATAGAAAGCAAAGCAAAAATTTATCTCAAAATCCAGGGGCGTACCAAAACTTTGACCACCACTGTATATTTGTGTTATTTCAACATCCAATCATGACTAGACCTACACACAGTCACAGAATTAATTAGTTTAAACATTTTAATCAATCAGCAAAATGCTTTTCTTACCACCAAAAAGATCTGCATCTCCACCCAGAACAGAAATTATCTTACTTCCTTCCATCTGAAAATTCAAAACAGACAAGTGAAGATGATTATAAATTTGGTTAGGGGTCTAGATCTGGACCTAGAGTCTAGTTCTATAGTCTAAAGACTAGATCTAGTCTAATAATATTAGGGCCTATACTGTTTTCACACTGGCAATATTTTGCTTAACCCCGTAATATAGGTGGGGTTAAGGGGGGGGGGGGTCTTAGCCCCACCTATAGATCCTAGTACGGGGTTAAGCCTATTCCACTTTCTGTTCAGACTAGATAAAGTTGGCTAACCCCACCTAGGCTATAGTACGGTACGGGGTTAACTAACCCTGCAAAATAGCAGGGCTAACTCCGCAATTGTGGTGCTAACTCCTACTAACCCCGCAATTGCGGTGCTAAGCAAATAAATGAGAACAGACACGAAAAATAGTCCGGTACTACGCAATGGAGCGTATCGCAGCTGGCCAGATGCGAAGTAGACCCTATGTCCAATCATAACATTCACGATATCCGGGGTTAACGAATTGCAGTGAGAACAGCGGGAATTTTCTTATTCCGGAATAGGCGGTAGTACGGGACTAAAATCAGCGTGTGTGAAAAGCCCAAAAAATAGTCCGGGGTTAAGGATAGTACGGGGCTAAGCAAAGTACGGGGTTAGGCAAAACCAGTGTGAAAAGAGTATAAATCACCAATATTATGAGAATATTGCATTTGTAGGATGTCACTGGATGGACACGGAACAAATATAATTAGGGTCTAGGGCCTAGACCTATAAAGCCTAGGCCTACTCCTTTGCCTTTGGATTTAATGAAAATATTCATCCAATAGATAATGTTCAACATTGTTCAACAATACAACTGATACAACATGTCATTGTTCAATATAGCAATAACCATGTTGAACATTAGTCCTTTAGATCTAGATAGTGTCTTAGAAGAATTAGCCTACCTGAATTTTATACCCTCCATACATTAACAATTACACCTAGAAATATCTGCTGGCTCTCACTCATCATGATCAGTCAAATCACATTCAAATCACATTCAAATCACAACACGGCAGCTGCGGCGGCTAGGCTGCGGTCATCGACTGTACGATGTCGCTTTTGGCTTCGGCTTTACGGAGGCGCGCTGGCCGCTGGAAATGAAAACCCCTGCGAGGGCTAGGCGTCGACCAGTGCCTAATTAGCTAAGCTGCCTCAAGTGTTAACCGTTGCCTAAAGTTATGGCTCCAGTTTGAATTGCTGGAGTTTATCGACATTTGAAACTAAGTTTATATATACTTTTCTGAACATGAAAGCAGTATGAGCTTACTAAAGTAATCAGAATGAGATGAAAAAACAGAAATTTAGCGATGCTACCTTAGCTTAACTTACAGTGACTACTAGCAGATATCCAACAGATAAATTTGAATTAAACTCGTAGCTTTCGAAAAATTCGTCAGCGATTTACATTCAGGTCGAATAATGACTTTAAACTATTCAAAATAATATTTAAACAAAAATAAAGTGAAATAGTTAAACCTAAAACTATGAATTTCTTTTTCGAAAATTTCAAAGACGATTCCGAACTGATATATTCAATTAGATTGAAGAAATACAAAATAAATCAATAATATGACGTACGGAGTGCGCATACGACAGCGCTCCATATCATATTTGGTTCAGTTTTACACAAGTGAAAGTGGAACATCGGCAGAATCGGCGCTTTTCAAAGTGAACCAATAGGGACGCGTACAAAAGTGGTTCACTTTCACACAATCGTTGGTTCACTTTCACATGTTAAATCTCTCTCTCTCTCTCTTAATTCTCTCCCTCTCTCTCTCTTAATTCTCTCTCTCTCTCTCTCTCTCTTCTCTCTCTCTCTCTCTCTCTCTTAATTCTCTCTCTCTCTCTCTCTCTTTCTCTCTCTCTCTCTCTCTCTCTTTCTCTCTCTCTTTCTCTCTTTCTCTCTCCTCTCTCTCTCTCTCTCTCTCTCTTTATTTTATATATATATATATATATATATATATATCTTTCTCTCTCTCTCTCTCTTTCTTCCAAATTACCACTATATGATTGTATTTCCCTAATTTACCTCACTTCAATATGACTCTCTACTCTAGCTCTTACTCAGTCATTATCGGCTCATATTCTAGTCCCTCTTCTTTCTCTGCCCACTCCCTTTCCTCTTCATTATGTGTCTTTCTGTATCATACCCCCCCCCCGCCCTCGTTTCTCTTTCTCTCAATATAGTCCACTCTATTTCGATCGTTTTATGTCCCACCTACGTATCTCTTTTTGTCTATACTGTGGCTCACAATACCGGTATCTCAATTTCTGGCTGTCTGTCCGTCTCTCGATCTCGATCCATGCAGTGACGGATCCAAGGGGGGGGGGCCGAAACGGCCGCCCCCGCCCCCCTTTTGACGGCGCCAAAAAAAAAAAAAGAGAAGGAAAAAAAGCGGAGGAAAAGTAGAGAAAAAAGAAAGGAGAAGAGAAAAGAATAGAGAAGAAAAACGATAGAAAAGAAAAGAGAGAGAGAGAGAAAGAAGAGAGAAGCCGGGTGAGAAAGGAAGAAAGACAAGGAAATGGCACTTAGTGAGTAGGCCTAACGACGAACACGGGAAAAACTGGGGGGGGGGGGGGTATGTGCGTCTGAAATGCGCGCGCATGGAGGCGGGGGGGGGGGGGGGTGGCTAAACATATTCTAAATTTTTAGGTTTTGCAAAACTGAGTCGCCGACTCAGGGAATTCAGCTTATTTTCAAAAAACTATAAGCAGTGGCGGATCCAGGGGGGGCCGAAACGGAAAAAAGGAAAAAAGAGGAAGAAAAGAAGAGGGAAAAAAAGAAAGGAGAAGAGAAGAAAAAAAAGGAGAAGAGAAAAAAAGAAAGAAGAGAAAAGAAACAGAGAGAGAGAGAGAGAAAAAAGTAGAAAATAACACGAAAAACGCCCCCCCCCCCTTCCCTCCCACTCCGGGGTCGGAGGGACCGAATTTGTGTTCCCAAAATCTCCCAACAAAGTCCGGCCCGTAATACACAAAAAATGGGGGAAGAGAAAAGTCGGGTGAGAAAGGGGGAAAGAAAAGGAAATGGCGCTAAGTGACAGTAACGACGAATAAGGGAAAACTGTAATCGGGAGATTTGGGGTCATTCCAGAAGGCTTGACAAACGTTCGTGAATAGAGGGGGCCGGGCCGGCCGCATAAAATCTCGAGCCGCGAATTAAAAGTTAAACGTTAAAAACAGCTCCTGCGCTACAAAGGTCATAACTCTTTAGTGAGCAATTTAAAAAGGGCACCATATTTTGGATGTCTTTTAAATAGAAGCTATATACGAAATATATGAAATTAACGGTAGGGCCGCCTTACAACTCTTATTTTGCCCTTCATTTAAATTCAGCTCATACTGACTCCCTTGTTCTTGTATTTGAACTCATGTTCGTAGTAATCATTGACAGGGGCGGCAATCCTGGCCCGATAGGGGGACACGTCCCCCAGGAAATTTAGAAATGTAGCTCGAAAAAAATATAGCAGAAAGAACGTACATATTGGGCTTAGGGATTTTCTAGAATGCATAATTTCAGCATTCAACATTGCAAAATCTTGCTTGGCCGCTACTCCCCGGCCCTCGCCCGATAACACAAAACTATGATCTGACGCTCCCGGGCGTGATTTATCCATGGTTGGTGTAATAGATCTTTCTTTTTTCCCGTTCATTTCTACTGACCTAATTGTGTGCTATTACAATCATGATTGTTTCATTTTCCCTTTAAAGCAGGCGCGTAGCCAAGGGCGGTAGGGGCAGTAAGAGGACATAGGACGAAAAAGGAGCAGACAAAGAAACATTGTTGAAAATTCTAACAAGTCGAGAACGGTATAACGAATCGTCTTCTTTCTCTAATAATTAAATGAAATGTCAAAGCTTCCGCGCTTCACTTGGGAGGGGGCCGAAACTGAATCCAGACAAGGATTAAGACTCGAGAATGGTACAACGAATCTTCTTCTTTTTCTAATAATTTATGCACAGTTCACACCGACGCCGAATGTCGCGCTTTAAATCGGCGATCAATTCGGCGTTACTTTTCAAAAAATCTCACGATCTCCTCAGATATGTTATGCTCTGACATCTTAACAAAGCGTGTCAATTGGTGACAGAGCGTACAAAGTGGGGTCACCGCTTTGAACCAAGCTCTGTTAAACTTTTTAAGCTTTCTTACGCTTTGAGCAAAACTTTGATAAGCTTTAATACTGTAACAAATCAGTGTTTTAGTATTGGACGAAGGTTAAGCATTTTCTGTTGTACGAGCATGCGCTATAGCAATATGGTGCATCGTTGATTTAGCAATTACCAAACTGAAGGAAAATGAGCATAAATTACATATTTTGATCATGTTGGTGCAATTATCATGTTTCTTTTGGGGATATTACTTGTATAGTAGTGATCTAATCAGGAATAAGGGGTTATACTGAAGATTATATGTGAAGATTTTATGGGATTAGCAGAAATGTTGTGTTGAAGTGTTGTTTTACTAACGAGGACATAATTGTTCTTTTATACGGTTATGTAAAGGGAAATTATTTGTTCGGGAAGGGTTGTGCATCTAGGGCTTTCCACTGCACTGTATCCGATACAGGCCAGCCTCACCGAGGCTGGCCTGATAATTGGCCTGATAGCTGGCCTGATAGTTGGCCTCATAGTTGGCCTCATAGTTGGCCTCATAGTTGGCCTCATAGTTGGCCTCATAGTTGGCCTCATAGTTGGCCTGATAGTTGGCCTGGCCCTACCATTAGTTGAGTCTTACACCTAGTCTACACTTGTACTTGTGTTGATCGAGTTTACCCTGAAAGATGGTTGGTTCGCATTAAAGGAATTCGACATACAACTCATGATTGGTCTGATTTCTTAAGAACAGTGACTCGAAGTTAGACAGTGAGATCGAGAATTAGTGACAGGTATTGACAAGGCATGATTGACTGCTCGAGGGATGTTCAATTGATTGATGATGTGCTCAAGACGTTTTTAGGTGACCGATTGCAGTCGATGGACGAATGATTGTTGAGATACGTGTGAGCAGTAAATAACTCCAGCCATTAAGCTACGGGCATATATTTTGTCCAAACGGACGGAGAGCGCCTGGCCAGATACGGGGCATCCTGACAAATATTCCGTGTCAAGCCAAGGTGGCGAAATCGTGTCCGTTACACATGGTGTCAGAAGTGGGATAGCTGATGGTGTGGAGTGGTAGAGCTGACAGAGCTGAGGGACGACGGCAGTAGCACTGACGGAGCTGGGGGACCATAGGCAGTAAGTCTGACGGCGTCACAAGCTGGTAGAGCTGACGGAGCTGGGGGACGACAGGCAGTAAGGCTGACGGCGTCACAGCTGGTTGAGCTGGGGGACGACGGGCAGTAGGTCTGACGGTGTCACAAGCTGGTAGAGCTGACGGAGCTGGGGGACGACGGGCAGAAGGCCTGACGGCGTCACAAGCTGGTAGAGCTGACGGAGCTGGGGGACGACGAAGGGCAGTAGGTCGTACGGCGTCACAGCTGGTCGAGCTGATAAAGCTTGGGGACGACGTGCAGTGAGACTGCCGCGTCACAGCTGGTCGAGCTGAAGGAGCTTGGGGACAACGGGCAGTAAGACTGACTGCGTCACAGCTGGTCGAGCTGACGGAGCTTGGGGACGACGGGAGGTAGCATTGACGGTGTTGCAGCTGGTCGAGCTGACGGAAGTGCGGAACGACAATGGAGAGAAAGAACAATGAGCCCAGGGATGCTGAGAAGGAAAGGAAACGAACTAACTTTTGAACAGTTGAACACTTTTGGAAAGAGCCATTTTGAACTGTCAGAAAAGACTTGGATTTTAGTTTTGATTTGTTTTGTTGTTGTTGCATAAGTTATAGATAAGTTAGCTTGGGGACCAAGCTTGGGAGGGAAGGGAATCGTGTAACAAATCAGTGTTTTAGTATTGGACGAAGGTTAAGCATTTTCTGTTGTACGAGCATGCGCTATAGCAATATGGTGCATCGTTGATTTAGCAATTACCAAACTGAAGGAAAATGAGCATAAATTACATATTTTGATCATGTTGGTGCAATTATCATGTTTCTTTTGGGGATATTACTTGTATAGTAGTGATCTAATCAGGAATAAGGGGTTATACTGAAGATTATATGTGAAGATTTTATGGGATTAGCAGAAATGTTGTGTTGAAGTGTTGTTTTACTAACGAGGACATAATTGTTCTTTTATACGGTTATGTAAAGGGAAATTATTTGTTCGGGAAGGGTTGTGCATCTAGGGCTTTCCACTGCACTGTATCCGATACAGGCCAGCCTCACCGAGGCTGGCCTGATAATTGGCCTGATAGCTGGCCTGATAGTTGGCCTGATAATTGGCCTGATAGCTGGCCTGATAGTTGGCCTGATAGTTGGCCTCATAGTTGGCCTCATAGTTGGCCTCATAGTTGGCCTCATAGTTGGCCTCATAGTTGGCCTCATAGTTGGCCTGATAGTTGGCCTGGCCCTACCATTAGTTGAGTCTTACACCTAGTCTACACTTGTACTTGTGTTGATCGAGTTTACCCTGAAAGATGGTTGGTTCGCATTAAAGGAATTCGACATACAACTCATGATTGGTCTGATTTCTTAAGAACAGTGACTCGAAGTTAGACAGTGAGATCGAGAATTAGTGACAGGTATTGACAAGGCATGATTGACTGCTCGAGGGATGTTCAATTGATTGATGATGTGCTCAAGACGTTTTTAGGTGACCGATTGCAGTCGATGGACGAATGATTGTTGAGATACGTGTGAGC